TCATCATCATCAGCATCATCATCAGCAGCAGCAACATCATCAGTATCGCCATCATCTGTACCATCATCATCATCATCATCATCATCATCAGCAGCAGCATCCCCACCCGCATTATCGTCATCATTATCAGCATCATCATCAACACCACCATCATCATCAACATTGTCGTCATCATTAGCATCAACAGCAGCATCATCAGCATCGGCATCATCATCATCATCATCGTCATCAGCATCACCCTCATCATCATCATCAGCATCATCATCATCATCATCATCGTCATCATCATCGTCGTCATCATCGTCGTCATCATCATCAGCATCAGCATCATCAGCATCAGCATCCCCAGTATCAGTATCATGATCATCATCAGCATCATCATCGTCATCATCATCATCAGCATCATCGTCATCATCATCGTCATCATCATCAGCAACATCGTGAGCATCATCATCACCACCACCAACATCAGCATCATCAGCATCATCATCAGCAGCATCATCACCATGATGATCATCATCATTAGCATCATCATCAGCAGCAGCATCATCAGCATCATCATCAGCATCATCGTCGTCATCAGCATCATCATCCTCATCCTCGTCCTCATCATCGTCAGCATCATCATCCATCGCCTCATCTTCCTCCTCTTCCTCGGAGAAGGAGACGGGAGGTCTTCCGTCTCATGAGGATGCGCGATAAGGCTGCAAGGGCCTTGGGCGCCCAGTCCGGAGCTCTTCGAGCGGGGCGCGGCCAGCGAGAGCGGTCAGGGAGGGGCCGAGGAGGCAGAGATGCAGGGGTACCCTTGGGGAAGGCTGCCCATCCTCACTATGCGGGCTGACTGCGACAAGAGGTGAGACACGACTCGTGGGCCCGCTGCTCTGGCCGCGGCGGCGGGCTGCGGCGGCCGCGAGACGAGCTCACGCCCCGGGGTTCTGCACTCGGCACGGTCTGGTATGGAAGGAGCTTCAGAATCGTGGGAACGCGACATAGCAGCTCGTGAATTTCATAATATGCAAGGGAGGCGGGAGGGGGAAGGGCGAGGAGGGGGGAGGGGGTTCAAGCTGGAACACCACTGGGGCAGCTACGCTACAGGCCACAAGGCCCCTGAGCTCCCGGGGAGCGTACGGGGCCCAGGCGAGAATATCAGGGACAGCACGCAAGGGGGTCGGTGGGAAAAGGGCCTCTTGTGTGCATCGAAGAAGGTGTAGGGGGGAGGGAGGGGGGGGGATGCGGGGGAAGGGGGACGAGAGGCAGGACATGACTAGGACAGTGGCCTGCCTCCGAGAAGGCAGGTCCAGGAAAGGAGGAGAAGGAGGAGGAGGAGGAGGGGGGTTGGCCTCGTCCCTCTCATCCATCCCCCCCCTCTCTTTCTCTCCGAAATATTCCCCCAAGGGTTCCCACAACGGCGCGGGGACGCATAGTCAAATACCTTGGCAAGACTTCGGCCCAACGTTTGGCCACATACACGTTTCCAAGAAGCAGACAGGCGGTGGCGGTGGTTCGCCGCAGGCGTCGTCGATAAAACAAAAACGGCGGGACTAAACGCATCAATCGACTGTAAATCTGGGGGGGACCAGATAAACTCGATTAAGAGAGGGGGTGAAGGCAAGCTCGGGGGTGAAGGCAAGCTCGCTCAAAATGGGACCCCAGACCCCTCCCAGGGTCGAAACTGAAAAGTGCTTCGAGCCACGTTCAGCCATGGCGACGAAGTGGCCCCATTCTCCCCCTTTTCTGCTGGCCAGAACCAGTGCTAGGCCACCTCAGCCCCCCAGCCGGCTCCAAGCCCAGGCATCGAAGCTGAGCCCTGGCAAAAACGACGTCCCGACAAGCAGGGTCCTTCTCCATACATCTGGCCACTCGGAAAACAGGCCTCTGGGACACCGTTGCCGTCCCTCGGAGCGACAAAAACTGCGCTTGATTCAAATAGGAAATCGACCACAGCATTGATTCGCCCCAAATTCTTCGCCGGATCTACAAAGAGATCTACAAAGATTGTGCGCATCGTATGCAGACTCTCCGAACAAAACGACTCTGGGACACACGTATTCTGTAGTCGATCTCCTACTTGGGCTTGATGCGAAGCTGGCCCCAAGGGCTCCCAACTTCGCGCTTCGCGCTGCGCGAAGCGCGAAATCGGAGCCGAACCGCGAAGCGCGAAGCGCGAATCACTGCGCGCCCTCGAGGGCGCCCTGGTGGTCCACAGGCCGGAGGTCGAGGGGCCAGGGGGGGCCGCGACTCGGAGAGGACGGACGTCGGAGGTGCACGTCGGTCGGAAGAAGTGGGTCGAAGCATGAAGCGGCTTGGCGTTGGAAGCAGACTGGGCCTCCGCCCGCCCCTTTGAAGAGAAGGAAAGAAGGAAAACCGCTCGACTCTTGAAGTAGAAAGGCACCTAAAGCAGAGTAGGATTTGGGCATCCAAAAACACCTACAGTCGGGGCGTTGACCTAAGGAACCCTAAGTAAGGAACGAGGCCCCTTTTTTCCAGAAGTTAACCCTCGATTTCCTGCCGAAAACATAACGAGATTCTGAGGCAAGCTGTGAAACACTTAAGGAACGCGGAGCCCCTCCCCAACGAAAAGGGTTCCTTCTTCAGGGCCCCGACTGTACTTTCAACGACCGGCGTGCACGGGCCACGGCAGCGCGAAGGCTGTCCTTCCCGAGGCGTCGCTCCGTGGCAAGGGGCCAGCGGCGGGGCGCTCTCGGGGCAGACCCCTTCGGGGGGGGTTGCAGACCCCTTCGGGGGGGGGGGGCAGGCAGCAGAGGGTTTGGAGGGAGGGGGAGAGGCGTTGCACAAGAGAGCGAAGGGCGCCAAGGAGCCGAGGAGGTGGGAAGCGAGGGGAGCGCGGGAGTGGAGAAGGAGACAGCAGAGCGCAGAAGGGGAAGCGCCGCGACGACCTGCCAAAGGAAAGAAGGGCGGCCCCGGAGCCTCATGAGGGCGTCCGAGGTGCTTGACCGCGACCTCTGTGCCGTCACGAAGCATGCCTGGGAGCACGACGCTCTCCGAAGGCTCAGACCGCAAAGACATCACATATTATTGCGAGGTAGACTCTGTCAGCACTGCCCCTGCTGAGCCCTGATTTGACTCGGTATGCTCGCGTTGCATTTGCACATCGACTCAACACGTGCGCACTTGCATCGGCACATCGCACGAAAGAAAGATGTTGACCGTCCTCAGCCTCCGAGGGACCGAGGCGGGACCGTCAAAGAACTACCCAGGACGAATGAAAAACCGGCCCTGGAGAAACGGTCGGAACTTCCGGGGGCCCCGTATTGCCAAAATCTGGGCACCGAATGTCTGAAGAGGCACGGCTCTCCCTCGTCCCCCTTCCTCCTTCTACTCCTCCTCCTCCTCCTCGCCCTCCTCCTCTTCCTCAGCCTCCTCCTCCGCCTCCTGCTCCGCCTCCTCCTCCGCCTCCGCCTCCGCCTCCTCCTCCGCCTCCTCCTCCGCCTTCGCCTTCGCCTCCGCCTCCTCCTCCTCCTCCTCCTCCTCCCCCTCCTCCTCCTCCTCCTCCTCCTCCCCCCCCTCCTCCTCCTCCTCCTCACTCAAGTAACATCTGGGCCCGAGCCATTTTGACACGGCGCCCGGTTCCCGAGCTGCGCAGTGGCACACCGCAGACCTCGGCGACAGCTAAAGCGGGGGAGGATGACTCAGAGACCATGGGCCAGGCGCCGCGGCTGCGGCACATGCAAGTACAACGATAGATTGGATGCAGCACACCCGACCTGTCCCCAGCGTGCACGACGTGTCCGCCCGCACCACCCACGCTCCCAGTCGCCAGGAGGACGCTCCGTCACCTTCGGCACCGCGGAGATCGTCCACATGGAGGAGCCCTCGGGCGCATCGGGCAGCAGACGGCGCAGCACATAACGCCACCCGCCGTCGGCTGTGGACCACCTCCAGCGCGCCATGGCAGAGACAGCCGACCCGCAGTTGAAGGCCGTCCTGCAGGCGCAGATCACCAGGATCGTCGCCGCGGCGGAGGTGGGCACGCCACCTACACCAGCTGAGGCCATGAATCGCGCGGACGGCAACTACCGCGCAGCCGTCCACCGCCACGAGCAGCTCGTCGGCAACATGGTGAAGCTCAGGGAGAGCCTCACCGCCGCAGAGACTAAGGAGCGGGAGGCGGCCATGGAGGTTGCGCGCACGGAGGCGATCAAGAACAAGACAAGACCACCGCCGCGCTCGCCCAGGCCGAGGGCGTCCGCACCATGGGCTCCACGTAGCAGGAGGACTGCCAGGCGGGCCCAGGAGGACCTGTCTTCTCGATGACCTGGGACGCCCTACCATTCGAGGACATCGCCGACCTGGACTTCGAGGAGCATGAACGAGCCGAACTAACATCAGAGGAGGCTGGACTGGAAGAACTTCGAAAGCAAGTCGACACGAAGGAGCCCCAGGTCCAAGCGTTGATCAACCGAGCCAAGGCAGCGTGCCAGCAGCAGGAACAGCGCCTGCCCAAGAAGCGCAAGGGCACCGGCGGCACGGCAGCCTCGGCGCAGCCGGTGCCACCCGGCGAGGGCACCCCGGCGCCGACGGCGCCAGGGCCCGCCCCCGGCGCCGAGGAGGCCGCCCAGAAGGAGGAGGCCGCCCGCCTGTCCGCAGCCACCTTCGCCGCCCACGCCGCCGCCGAGGCCAAGGACGCCGAGGGGGGGCGCGGGCAGCGGCAGAGGGGGCCGCCAGCCCGCCCACGCAGAGCCGCCCACAGTCCAAGGGCGAAGGGGCGGCAGGCAGGGGCAGGCCGCCCTCCTGATTAGGGACCTCAGTCTACCTACCTGAAGGGGAACTGGGACACACAAGTAAATACACACAAATAAAAATATCCCCCATATTTTCTCATATGTTCTAGGTTTTTGTCTTCCCCCCCACTTCCCACATTTTTCCACATTTTCTGGGAATCGCCGATTAATTGTGTCTGTGTGTTTCTTTCCCTCCTGACTACCACCAGGTCGCCGAGAGCGACCCCAGTACACGCGCGCGTACATTCATTCCTCTGCAGCAACGTCACGTGCATGGGCGACAACGCATGGGACTATATTTTTGCCAAGCACGCCTGACGATGTTTATGGCACCATCGAGGCTCGCGCCGGGGCGGCTGACCAGGGCAGCTGGACTGGGCGAGCTCGGCGTGCCAACCTCCGCACGTTCTCGACCCTCCCCTCGAGCGCGGCAGCCCGATGGGAGGCCAGATTCCATCGAATCGGATGCCGCCGGCCACGCCAACTGACTACCTACCAGACCACCCCAACCCAACCCGAAGACCCGAATTTGACCCGAGTTTCGGGTTGGGGGGGGGTACGGATTCCATGTGTTTTCTCAATGTTCCCCGACCCCCCCCCACTGGAAATCGAGGATAAATTTGGGCCTTCGGGTTGGGTTGGGGTGGTTTGGTGGGTGGTGACCAACGAGGGGGGGCGAGCGGGTGCGAGCGAGGGGTCACTCAGAGGCCCACATCCTGTAGGGAGGGGCCCAGGCGCCAGCGTGCCGCGCCCGACCGCCCAGAAATCATGTGCGGCTCTGTCTGCGTTTGCTGCTGCTTCTGCTGCTGCTTCCTCCCTTCCTCTCCCCCCTCCCCCTTCTGCTCTCCTCTTCCTCCTTTGCCGCGGGGCGACCTCTCGAGCTAGTAATAAAAGTGCGGCTCTGTCCCCGCCGTGCTGCGCCTCAGCGGGTACTCCCTCGTGGCCATCGCCTACCACGGCATCTCCGGCGTCGGGCTGACGAGCACCGACCTGGCGCGCCTGCGGAGGTTGGGCAGCCTGCCGCGGGCGCTGCAGCTCACATCGGTCGTGGTCGGGGACTGGAATGTCCACCCAGCGACCCTCCAAGCCTCGGGCTTCCTCGGCGAGGTACGCGGCCTGACTCGATGCGCAGACGTGGAGTACGCGCGCGATCCAGGAGGAGGCAAGCAGGCCTCTCATCTCGACTTCCTCGCCATCAGCACAGCAGCGCAGCCATGCGTCACCGAGGTCACACCCGTACCCGACGTACTCTGGCGACCACACCCCGCCCAACGCATAAGGTCTGTGGCCGCAGGGGGCAGCTCCTCGCCAGGATCATGAACCTCCCGCGTCAACTGCCAACAGTTCCTCGGCCGACGCGCCCGCCAACGCGAGGGTCCAAGCCCGGCCGTGCGAGGGCCGAACGGAGGGACAAAGCCACCCTCAGCACCCAGAAGCGCGAGCAGACCTACACCCTGCGAAATGCTTAAGAAATCATGGGTTCAGAAATTCATAGTCTCAGAACTTGAATAAAAACCCTACATGTCCATTCAAATCTTAGGATTTACATTGAAACGTTAAGAATAATCGAGACTCTGGCCGAAAATTCAAGTTTTCTTAAGCATCGCCTAAGGTGTACACGGCGCTGTTCGGGGACCTGCGGGCGAACGGCAACACCGACCACGCCTCCACAGACGCTGGCGACACGTCCGAGGAAGAACCTCAGAGCGCACAGGTGGAGCCCGACGAAGGACCCATAGGCTGATGAGGCCAATTTTCAGCGTGCATGTTCCTTGCCCGCCGCTGCCGCAGTCGCCGCACCTGCTTTTGTTGCGCTAGCTTTCGTGCCCGAGTCAGGCACATTCAGTGCATCCGACATGTCAGGCAGCCAATCCAATCGCATTCGGCCAGCCCGACCTCTCCCAGTCACATCGCGTCTTTCAGCCCGACTGGGGGCGAGCAACATAGCCCATCGTACATCTTCTGGCCATGCATCTTCGGTTGCCCAGAGTGAGAGTGATCTAAACAGCGAAGCTCACCACTCGTTGCACCAGCCAGTACATGCACGCCAGTCGTCTCAGCATCGCTTGCCCGCGTCGAGCCCAAGAGGACCCGAAGGAAACAGTTCCGCCGCATCCTCCGAGGCACAGAGCCCAGCGCAAGTGAATCCGACCCAGCGCGAGACCCCCCGCTACCTGCTATACACAAGGAGGTGAGCCCAAGGATGCCATCCAGCCAAACACGAACAGACCCAGCGAAGTGTGGCATGAGCATCAGTCGCAAACGGGGATTTTGAACACCAACATCTGTGCTCCCTCTGGTGCGGCCACCTCCTCCGTGGCATTCAGCCAGCTTGTGCAACGCAGATCGGACGACTGTACGGATCCTGGACTGCAGCGGTGGAAGCGACAATCCACGCACACCACCAGCAGGACTTTCTTGGAAGCTCGCGTGCAGTCAAGTCAACCCAGAGCTTCACATCGTCACAGTGAGAGAGAGAGAGCCAGCCGAAGCGAGCATCGGCACTGCGGGAGCAGAGCAGCTCGTGGTGGACTCGGCTACACACTACCTTGCAGCACATCTACAGACACAAGGCGCGAGGCAACGGGCAGAAACAACTCGCCCAGCTTCGCGCAGCAGTGGAGCGCTTGCGCCGGGAGGCCCCAGCAGGAGCTGCCACGGTGATCCGACCACAGGACAGCCACCAGTGGGACCAGTGGCTGCAGCTGCTCAAGCACGTCCAGACCACCGCCGTCGGCACCATCGTCAGCTTCGCTGGCGAAGCGGGAGTGGTCAGTCGCAGGGCGCAGCGACGTGCCCTGGCGAGGTCGCTGCGCGATTTCCAGGAGTGGGCCGTGACAGGCCCCGCCCTGGGTACGCTACATCGCACGTTGCGGCCTCAGCCCACCCCTGCAGAGTCCATTCTCGCCGACACCGAGACCATCGTCCACCCGAAGGACATACTGGACCACGCGGTCACGAGCTGGCACCAGCTGTGGTGCCAGACGGGGCAGGATATCGAGGGCCTCGCCGAGCTGTTCGACAGGATCCATCTCAAGCTCCAGGAGAAGGGCAGACCCCCTCCCCTGACGGGAGACGACGTCCGCCGCGCGCGGCAGCGCCCGCGGGCCTGCTTAGGTCAGGGAGCGGACAGGCTCGGTCCCGCCGACTTGCCACGGCTGCCTGGTGATGCACCGGAGGAGCAGCTGCAGGCGCGGCCGCACCAGCTGCTCATGACCATCGGAGTCGTGCGCGCCAAGAAGGACAACGGTGACCGCGTCATCGGCCCCCTTCCAGAGATCGCTCGCTTACGGCCCGTGTGCCGCGAGGACGCAAGCAGATCATGGCATCAGGAATGTCTTGCCCACTGGGATGCTGCCATCAGGGGCAACTCAGTCCTGAAGGAAGCCTACGACAGGGCCCTCGAGGAGACGCTCACCCAGTACGTCCATGTAGCGCAAAGGCATGGGCTCCTTGACATCTCACAGTTCTACGTCAGCATACCCTGGGTCGCCCTGGGTGAGCAGGCCTCAGGCCTGGACTTTCCCGCTCGGGCTGGAACTATTACAATGCATCGCACCACGGACCTTGAGGCAGAGCGGTAGTCACACCATCCCGTTCCAACCAACACGGCCCGTGGCATAAGGATTACGATCAGGAACCCGCTTCGCCAAATGCATGACATTCCGTGCATTGCAAAGGATCACCTAGGCTCATCCCAAGTTTCAACATCTACTTTGAGTTGATGATTTATCTCAACGCATACAGGATTCTCACAAGGCAGTACGACAAGAACTCCTACAGTGCCTCACGGACTCCTGCGAGGCACTCAAGTCGCACGGCGTCAGCATCGCCAAGGAGAGCATAGTCTTGTGCTCCAGCATGGACGACGCCCGCTATGTGGTGCGCTCGCAGGCCAACTACCAGGCCAGCTACCTAGGAGCCGACCGGCCCAGGCCGGCTTCAAGGTGCAGGCCCGCTCGCAGGCCAGCTACCTAGGAGCCGACCTCGGTGCAGGGGCACGGCATGCTAGGCACACCAGACGTCAACGTCTGACCCGCCACGGCCTCATGCATCGCAAGATCGTCCGACTGGCACTGGCTACTAGGCGGTACCGCCTCACTGGGAGGTTGGCAAAAGCAGGGCAGGGCAGGCTGCAGGAGGCCATGGGCACCAGGTCCACGGCGTCTTCGGCACTCGGACGCAGCTGTTCCGACGCCGTCTCGGGGATGCGCCGGGGCCGCGCATGCCAGGGCGCTGCCTCACCACCCTTAGGGGTCCACATGCGAACCCTCCCCCTCGGAAATCGTGGGGGGTAGGGGTAGGGTTCGCATGTGGACCCCTAACCCTGCTGGACCTGAAGGCCGGCGGCCGAGACCCAGCCAGGCGGCTTCCCAAGGAGGCCATCCACCAGTGGCTCACGACGTGGATCCAAGCAAGACCCATGCAGAAGACGATCCAACATGAATGGCGCCAGGTTGCCCAACACGTTCGTCAGCTCCCCGCTGGCCGTGAGAGGACCACAATCGGCCATCAGATTGTACCTCATGGAGAACGGATGGAACCCTCGAGAGCCCAATGCGTGGGACCTCCCCGTCCAACCAGGCAGCGACGTGCACGACGCAAGGGAGTTGGATCCGACAGGACTCACAGGCAACCCAGCCGTCGACATCCCGTCAGCCCTCCTGCATGACCTCGACGGCAGCATTCAGACACGATCCTGGAAGCAGGCCAGCGAGCACTACGGAGGGTCAGGGGTGGCGGAGGGAATCGACAACAGATCATGCCGTTACCTTCTGGGGCATCTCGAGAAGATGCCGAATGGGAAGAGGCTCTCGACGCTAATGGTGACTACAGCAGCTGGTGCAACATGGCCAAAAGGCAGAGTCCATGATCAGATCAGCACAGCCTCAGCCTCGGACGGGATCTGCCCACAAAGAAACAGCGTTCCACCGTGCCTGGGAGTGCCAGGGACGGAAGACCAGCCCAATCTACGACGCCAGCGACAGCGTGATCGGGGAGGCCACCACGCAGCAGGAAATGTACGAGTGCTTCTGGACCAGAGGCCTCATATCCCAGTCCTGGACGTGGGCCCCGCCGCCAGCGACCCACGAGGACTGGACCACATACGGTGTCGACGAGGGCTACTCTCACGACGGGTGCTTCGGTGTCGGCCTCCCAGGGCAACCGCTGTACATGCTCGGCGATGCCAGCGGAGGGGCCGACACGGCGCACTCCACCCCACGACGCGCAGGAGTGGCCATCACGGGCTTCCACGACCTCAACCGTGATGGCATGGAGCTCCAGAGGGCCGCCTGGGGACCTCTCCCAGGGCACCGCCAGACGGTGGTCAGAGGAGAGTTGCTCGCGCTCCTCATGGCCCTACGAGCGTCCAAGGGCGAGATCATATACGTTACGGACTGTGAGGGGGTCTGCATCAACTACCACAACAGGCATCCTCGGCACCCAGAAGGAGAGGATGCGGACATATGGCATTGCGTGGGCCAACAGCTCAGAGACAGGCCCACCGACGTCGCCGTACTCTTAGTCAGATCTGATCAGACCACTGATGATGTCGTCCAAGGACGAGCGTTGGGGCCCCTTGTCTACGGCAACAGAGTTGTGGATGATATTGCAGCAGTGGCCGCCGAAGATCACCAGATGCCAAAGGCAGTCCGCCGGAAGACTGCTTTGGTCGAGAATAAAGCTTACCTCGTTCACATGCGACTCCTGAGAGCCACAGTAGAGGCCTCAAAACACGAGCGTCTCCAGAGGCTTCTTGAATCCGAGAGCCGTAGGAGTAGAGGCAGACCCAGACGGGTCAAGGCCCCCAAGGCCCACGCCCCAGCCGCGTCTCTGCGTGCTGCTTGTAGTTCCTCCCACCAGCTCGACGACACAGGTCGTAAATGTGGTGTGTAAGGCCTCTGCCAATGCAGCCACACGTGTTCAATGGTATAACACAGAGTGTTTCAAGCTTGTAACCCTAGATGGCACTTATATGAGGCCCCCCCTGGGTAAGCAGATACATGTAGCAGGGGGAAGCACTCGCATGACCCATCAAACCAGGTTCCACGCTGGGCTGGAAGCTTGGTCTTGTTCCGTGTGCGGGACGTACGCCTCCCAACAGACTTGGAAGCTAGCCGTCGCATGTGACACACCCAACGCCACTGGGAGGGAGTATTTGCGTCGAATTGCATTGGGGTCCTGGCCCAAAGCGCTCAGCGAGGGGGGAAGCAACAGGCACCTCGGTAGGTGCCAGCGGGAGCCTATCACCATATCGCTGCGCGATCAGGCAGAGTCTCCAGAGTCTCCTCCTCCTCCTCCTCCTCCTCCTCCCCACCTCCTCCTCCTCCTCCTCCTCCTCCTCCTCCTCCTCCTCCTCCTCCTCCTCCTCCCCACCTCCTCCTGCTCCTCCTCAAGACCTCATCGCATGTCTGGGGCCCTGTCCTGCTTCGCCTCGCCTCTCCGCCCTCCGCTCTCGCCTCCGTGCGCCTGCTGGGAGCCCCAGCCTCGCCAGGGAAAAAAAAACTACCCTCGGAGGAGCGACGAGAAGGCATCGCGACCTTGCGACGCGGCTCACGCGGGCCACGAGCGCGGCACGCTGCGTCGGAGACGAGGGCACTTGCGCGCGACCTCACGTGGGAAGGCTTGCGTGCCAAGGTCGGCGCCATCGACCCCGCTTTCTTCCCGCTGCTCGGAGGAGGAGGAGGAGGAGGAGGAGGAGAAGGGAGCCAGGGCTGTTGGATCCGGAGCCAGGGTGATTTCAGGGAGGAATCAGACCGCCGGACCCCCACCCGGCAGTCCCACAGCTGACCCTGCTGGCTGGACCGCCATAGCGCGCGGTAGGAAGAGTATGCGCGGCGCGCTCCGGACAGTGCCAGGCGGAGACGCACGCATCACCACCGCCTGGAGGATCGTTCTTCGGGGACTTCGGCAGGCGGTGGACCCTCCCCAGGGCCAGAATGTTTCCACATCCACCGCCTGCCGAGGCCCCCGAACATCGATCCTCCAGGCAATGGTGATGGGTGAACCCCCGCCTCGGATACAGCCGCCGTGGCTCGGAATCCAAAGCACCTGCGGCAAGTAATGGGCACGCCAGGCGGGAGATAAAGAAAGAAAACGGTGACAATGACCAAGACTGAACGCGAAACGTCGGTGCCGATCTTGTTCACCGTCCATCTTGGTCATCGTAAATTCGTGGATCATCCTTGCGAATCGGCGACGGCCAGCATAGGGCATGGACCATGATCCTGATCTGCATCGAGAAAATCCTGCGACATCCTGGTCATGGTCATCGCGTTTTTTCCCTCCCGTGGAGGCGGACAGGCAGCAGCTGGAACGGGAGCTGAAACGGGAGCGGCAACAGATGGAAGCGGCGGCTCGTGGAGGCACAGTGGAGGCACAAAGGCGAGCCGAAGGATCGTCTTCTGAGGCTCCCCCGGGGGTGCCCCGGAACACCGAGCCGTATGTGCCCTCACCCAGCCGACTCGAAGGCGACAGGTTCTCGGTCGCCTCGAGGATGTCCTCGGCAGAGGGGGGGGGGCGATCTCTCCCTCCCCCTCATCCCCTTTCCTTATAGATAGATCACTCTTTCTCCTCCTCCTCCATTTCCTCCTCCTCCTCCTGCTCCTCCTCTTCTTCCTCCGCCCCCTCCTCCTCCTGCCCCTCCTCCTCCTACTACTCCTCCTCATCCTTTTCCTCCTCCTCCACCTCCTTTCTCCTCGTCCTCCTCCTCCTCCCTCCTTTTCCTCCTTCGTCTTCTCCCTCCTCCCCCTCCTCCCCCTCCTCCTCCTCCTCTCCTCCTCCTCCTCCTCCTCCTCCTACCCCTCCCCCCTCCTCCTCCTCCCCCTCCTCCCCCTCCCTCCTTCTCCTTCCTCCTCCTCCTCCTCCTCCTCCTTCTCCTCCTCGTTTCTCCTCCTCGTTTCTCCTCCTCATCATCATCATCATCATCATCCTGCTCCTCCACCTCCTCCTCCTCCTCCTCCGCTTCCTCTCCTTAAGAATGACTCCTCCCTGTCACACCCCGAGGCGTGCCAGCAGGGCGGGCGGAGCGGTCCGACGGAGACCTCCTGCCCGCCTATGACCCCGAAAATTCTGCAACTTCCAACTGCCACGCGGATGGAATGGACGGTCTAAAAATGTGGCCATCGCGTCAGCGCCACGACACGGTCGTCTCGAACGCGTCGAGCAGCTACAGAGATGCAGCGCATGTAGATTTCAACATGTGGTTCACGCTTTACCGCCGCACACAATCGTCTTGACGGATCCCGAACAAACACAAATGAAACGCAAGTCGCTTGAAACATACGGCCGCCGTTTTCGCTCCGGGAACACTCGTGTTACAGCTTCCCCGACTGTTACACCGGTGATGGGGGTCGTGGTTTACATGCGGCTCTCGCCTTATTGCCGAGCACATGCGTCTTCAAAGCTTCCAACGAGTACACGGATGGGGGATCGGCTCAAAGTCAACATGTGGTTTTCGCCTGGGCCCCGCTCAAATACGTCCTAAAAATGTATCGCCGATACGCGGATAAGTGGATGGCTACTTTCCAAAAAATGCGGTTATCGTCCCAGACCCTGGCTACAACCGTAACACGGATGAAACGCGATTCTATCTACATGCGGATTACACCCCAGCCTCGCGCACACTCGTCGACAGAAGGTCCACCAAATATACGGACTGAGCGTACGTCCCTGTGAAAATCAGACCCTCGCCTCAACAGCTACACGGATGGATGGCGGTTCCTTCTCAAAATAAAGCCGCCGCTTGATACTGCCTGAGCCCGTATGACCAGAATCCTCAAAAATGTGCAACAGCTGGACGGGTTGGGAGCAGCACCTTTTTTCAAGTCATGCTCCTCGCGTGAGACGTCTGTTGGGCTTTATGCCCAGACCATGAAAAGTGGCGACAATTTGCACGAATTCAGGACGGCCCGCATTGAAAACGGAGCCATGGCTGGACACTTGCTTGGACCGTATGGCCCTACATGGTCGCGCTTAGTAGAAATAATATGATGGACGGAAAATTTGTTCCCTGAAAATGCCAAGCATCTCCACACAACAGCAAGGTACGAGGCAGAATGTGCACCCACGTTGGAACCATGTGTCGCGCACCGTCGGTTGGACTAGGACTGACTATGCCTACTTTCTCGGGACCCCTGGTCCCGTCCGTTTCCAGCCAGCATTTCGGCGAGTGGCTGGCTATCTTCACCAGGACCTGCCACAACCAACCACACGGGGCAGGCCGACACTGTCACGAACGACACCTCCGTTTCCGACTGTGTGAAACATCAATGCGTGCAACAACCGAATCGCCAGCTGATTGTCAAGCGGGCTCAGGGCAATGAGCGCTGGCAGCTTAGCTTCGCGCGTCAACCTGGAGCCTGATTCGTTAGCCTTTTTGTTTCAGGGGAGGGAGGGAACAACTGATGCAAAAACTTGCCCCTGCCCTGAATTGCAAGACCATGGGGGGCATTCGTCCATCAAGGGGGATTCCCCGCAATGAGAATACCTGCTTGCATGGGCGTGTGAGCAAAGGACTCTGGACAGGAGGGCGTGTTCCGGCATTGGGTTGGATAGGGTCTTCCGCCTCGCTCACGCATTTCGGGTTTACAATGATCTCCATCAAGGCTTGGCGCCGCGCACGTTCGTCTGAAAAATTGCGGCCGTCTCGAAGATGGAGGGCAGCTCATTTTCAGAATGCGGTTCCCGCCCCATTGCCGCGGGCCTTCGCCCCAAGCGTGGACCAGAGCTTCAAGGGTTCACGTGATCCGAAAATTGCGATCTACAGCGTGAGTTAAGAGTGCCAGGACGCACAGCCCCGTGCATTTGCGGCGTTGACCTCTCAGGAATGGCGCATTAGCGCGATTGCAAGTCATCCGACGGTTGTCTCCCAATGGGTCACATCCAGCAATGAGAACAATTCGTGTGGGGCCCTATAAAGATGGAGCGTGGAGTGAGGGTGTATTGCAACATCGCTGATCCGTCTTAGGTTAAAACTAATCCTTATCCTCCCCCCCATTTTCCTCCTCCCCCCATCTGTCACCCTCCTCCTCCTCCTGCGCCGCATTTGGGGCGGGGGGCTGATGGCCACGACGACGGCAGGCAGGGGGCAGGGGGCGGGGAGAGGGTTAGAAATTGCAAAAGAAAAGGGAAACGCAGGGGTGCCCCCCCTTCCGCGCGACCTCGCGCAGGCGATCCTTGAAGACCCCCCCCCACGAACCCTGCTCCCCCTCCCACTCAACCTCCTCCTCCTCCACCGTCTCCTGCTCCTCCTCCGCCTCCTCCTCCTCCTCTGTTCTCCTCCTCTCCGCCCGTCTCTCTCCTCCGCCTCCCCATCCGCCGCCGTTCTCTCGGGAGGAGGGGCCCGCCCAAAAATTGTGGGGGGGGGATGGGGCGCCAGTCGAGGAGCCCGGGGGCCCGCCGCGACAGAGCGGGGAGCGGAGCGGAGCGGGGCGAGGAGAGGGGGGGGAGGCACGAGAGGGGGGGAGAGGCCGGCGAACGAGAGGTGGAGAGGTGGAGAGGGGAGGAACGAGAGGGCAGCGAGCGCGAACGAGCAGAGGCCGAGAGAGGCAGCAGGGCCTGGCCCGCCCGAAGAAGGGCGGACGAGCGCACGAGAACCCCCTGCCCCCAGAGGGCCCAGACCTCGGAGGCCGGAGCCCGCAGCCGTCCGCTCTGCAAGGTCCGGGCCCCGGGGGAGAGGGCCTGCGAACGAGGAGGGGGAGGAGGAGGAGGAGGAGGAGGAGGAGGAGGAGGAGGAGGAGGAGGAGGAGGAGGAGGAGGAGGGAGGAGGAGGGAGGGAGGAGGAGGAGGAGGAGGAGGAGGAGGAGGAGGAGGAGGAGGAGGAGGAGGAGGAGGAGGAGGAGGAGGAGGAGGAGGAGCTGGAACAAGCGGCCCTTCGCGGCCGCGGGCAGCGGGAGCACGGGCCCTGCGGCAGGCCCGTGCTCACCATCGCATAGGGAGGCCCGGACGAGGACGGGCTCGCCCAGCACGCCCAGCGCGAGGGCACGGAGCGGCGCCACGACGCGGAAGGGGGAAGAGAAACAAGCAGAGATCGGCGACGCTGGTCAACACCAGCCCGCAAGAAAAGAACACCACGCGCGCGCCGCCAGCGGGCGGACGCGCAGAGCCTGGGATGCTCTCGCCGCGCGAGACCGCATCGAGCCCACATCGGGGACTGGGATGCTCTCTCCACGAGGCTGCACCGAGCCCAGCCCCAGGGCTTGGGACGCAATGACTCTGAAGTCCGCACGGGCCCAGCCCAAACTCCACCTCCACCACAAACGCCACGATCATATGGAAATACTGGAAACAGTGGGGCCGCATTAAGCAACAGCACGCCGCGTGCAAACCACCAAATCATGGGAATAATGAACTTGGAGCCGGGCCGATCGCTGGACGCACCCATCCTAGCCAAAGCAAAACGCGAAACGACCGAACCCGAGCCAGCGCCCACCTGGACTGGCTCGGAAATCTGCGGTCCGGCACCCCATGGGACGAGCTCGGAAGCCTGCGCACCTCCCGTTCTCGGGGCGGCCGCGCGGTAGCGAGCAGCACGCCTACGTTGAAGTATCACATCGTGCGACGGCCCATCCAGCGGACCGAAGCTCGGGGACCTGAACCGAAACAGCACTACAGGGCAGGTTTTAATACACATGATTTTTAATATCGGATTTTTAATACATGATCAATGTATGAAAAAGATATGCCTGAACTCATCGTTTTTTGTTAGTACTAAATCCCTGAATTATTACTACATTAACCGCACGCGGAGCATGTATCAAAAACGGCACTGTAAACATATCCCCCCAACACTGAAGCGACACCCAGCCGACCCACAGCAACCATGCCACGAGTACTGGGCCTCCCCAGGCCGTGGAAGACCTGGCCAGACTGTGGCAGAACACCTCTGGCAAACCAGGCCTGCATCTCTTCCGTCGCAGTCAGCATCCGCCGAGCCGCCCGTCGAACTCCCGGCGGGGTGAGGAGCTGACGCCGCCCCGCGCAAGCATCGTAAACGAAGAAGCGGCGAGACAGAGCGCCAGGCACTGTCTGGCACCTGCGCCACCGGCGCGACATGCCAGCACAAGCCCTGGCCACGCGGATCTGCGACCAGCGCCCACCAGCGGTTACTCCAGATTTCGTAATAAAGGGAGGGGGGTCTCATTTCGGGGGGGGTCTCTTCCAGGCTATCGTGGAGGGCCTGGGGGGTCTGGGGACGATGTTTTGGAGGGTTCTCCCACGGGGGAGGTCTGAAATGGCTTGTCTTGGAGGGTCCAGACCCCTCCCTTTTATTACGAAATCTGGAGTACCCCTCGCAGCGACCCTCGCACATGAGGAGTCAGCTTCTTGCCTCACAAGCACTCCGCGATTGGTCGCAATGAGATGGGACCTGTCCGAATAGAGCCCGTCACCTGCACGAGCGCCAAGGCAGCTCGATCGATCGAGCGCCGAACTCCGAACTTGACTGCGCGTGCAATCCACCTGGACGAGTAGCAGCTCAAGTACCACGGCCTCCCTTCGTT